GATTGAAGTTGTTAAAGAGTTGTTCAAAGATAAGGTGAGATTGTAAGGTTTTAAAGCTTGAACAAAGAATTCAAAGGAGCAAATTGTACAAAATTTTGAAAAGGGAAGAATGTTTATCAAAGGGGAGACTGTTTAAAGTTTGATGTAGCTGAGGGTCTGAAGATTTTTGCTGATATGTTTTTGTTTGAAGCTGCTCACAAATCTTGAATTCAAAGGGGAAGAATGTTAGGTCTAAGTTTTGTACCTAAATTGATTGTATCCAAGCTTTATGTCCTTGTGCTTATCTTGTTGTATATATAGGTGCTTTGTTAGATTTAGAGTGAGGTAAAATATACGGATTGTAAGACTTCATCTTTGTAATTGTTGTTTGAATACAATTGGCGCTTAAAAGATTTCTCTCTTTAAGATTTATACTCTCTCTACAATCATCTTATTGTGTTCTTGATTGTTGATCTTTGAATCAAGAATTGTGTATTGATTAATACAAACTGGGATTATCAGAAGGGTTAGAAGATTTTATAGTTTACAGTGATGCCTCAAAGTTGGGTCTGGATTGTGTCCTGATGCAACAAGGAAAAGTCATTGCCTATGCTTCCAGACAACTAAAAGATCACAAAAAATAGTACGCTACTCATGATATGGAACTTACAGTAGTTGTTTTTGCCTTGAAGACTTTGAGACATTATCTGTTGAGGACTAAATGTCATATTTATACAGATCATAAAAGTCTTCAACATCTGTTCAATCAGAAAAAGTTAAATACGAGGCAAAGACGATGGCACAATTAAAGCCATCACATTAAAAGTGGAAAGACGAATGTAGTGGTTGACGCACTTAGTCGAAAAGAGAATAGTGGAACAATCAAAGACATTGCATTACGAGTTAATTTGATCCCTAACATTCTTGATGAGATTTTGAGATGTCAGAATGAAGCGGTTAAAGAAGAAGATGTTAAGGCAGAAAGAATCGGAGAAATGTTAACGAACCTGGTAAAGAATGATCGTGGAATTTTATATTTCAAATGTAGAATATGGGTGCCTTATTTTGGGCATAACCATGAGATAATATTGGACGAAAGTCACAAGTTTTGATATTCAATTCACCCCAGTCCCAATAAGATGTATAGAGATTTAAAACCATTCTACTGGTGGCCGGAATTAAAAAAGGATATTGCATAGTACGTAGAACGGTGTCTGACGAGTCTACAAGTAAATATAGAACATCAATGAGCTTATGGGAATTTGCAATCATTAGAAATTCCGATGTGGAAGTGGGATCATATCACGATGGATTTTATAATGAAACTGCCGCAAACTCCGAAAGGGTATGATGCTATTTAGGTTATTGTGGATCGTCTGACAAAGTCTGCACACTTTCTACTGATTAAATAGGCATATTTGTTAGAAAGACTTGCGAAGATCTATATTGATGAGATTGTGACTAGACATGGTGTTCCGTTATCAATCATTTCAGATAGGGACCATCGGTTTACCTCGAGAGTCTGGGAAAGCTTTCAGAAAGCAATGGGATCCCAAATTCGGTTGAGTAAAGCGTATCACCCACAGACTAATGGGCAAAATGAACGAACAATACAAACCCTTGAAGATATGTTGTGAGCATGTATCATTGACTTTGGTGGTTCATGGGAGAATCATCTACATTTAATCGAATTTGCCTACAATAACAGTTATCATTCCAGCATTCAAGCAGCACCTTATGAAGTTCTATATGGTAGAAAATGTCAAACATCGTTATGCTGAAATGAGGTGGGGGAGAAATAGTTGGCCGGTCCAGAGATTGTCCAGTTAACAACTGAAAAGATAGATTGAATTCGGGAAAGAATAAAGACTGCTCGATCCCGACAAAAGAGTTATGTTGATGAGCGTCGTAAGCCGATTAAATTTCAGGTAGGAGATCGTGTAATGTTAAAAGTTTCACCTTGGAAGGGTATTGTGCATTTTGGGAAAAGAGGTAAACTGAGTCCGAGGTACATTGGGCCATTCAAAATCAGTAAACAGGTTGGTGAAGTAGCATATCAGTTAGAGCTACCAGAAGAGCTCAACGCTATTCATAACACTTTTCATGTTCCGAATTTGCAAAAGTGTTTGGCTAATCCGATTATGGTTGTACCGTTATTTGAAATTCAGATTGATGATCAGTTGAGTTTTGTGGAAACCCCACAAGCCGTCACTGATCGAAAGACTAAAATGTTGACAAATAAAGAGATAAGTCTGGTAAAGTTTAATGGCGATTTCATAAAAGGCAAGAGGCTACTTGGGAACTAGAATCCGATATGAGAACGAAATATCCCCAGCTATTTGACTGATTGAATTCTATGACAGAATTCTTTTGAGAGGAGAATATTGTGATAACCAGGTTTATTTTGATTTAAAAAGTTTGGGTGGATTTTGAATTATGACAATAAGTTGAGGTGTGTGTTTTGAAAATGGTGTTTAAAATATCTTTCATCTCACCACCTCTCTTTTTAAATATATATATATATATATAGTTTCTTTTATGCTGTTGATGCTTTATAAGAGATAAAAACTTAAAAGAAAAGTTGATGTTTTCTTGGCTACTGGATTCGAACAAACAGAAGAGAAAGAAAAAGATTTGATATGTGATTTTATCTGATTTTCATTGTTGTTTATACCTGCAATCTACTGTGTTTAGAATGTGAGTTTTATTTTAAAAAGCATCATTTGATTTGTTTTTTGGTGAAGAAACCGTATGGTTATACTTGGGTATTTTATGACTATATGATTATTATTTTTTATTAACCTGGATATCCTACCCGCTATGCGAGCCGACTAATCCCAGGGCGACCACCTGCTTTGCAGATAAACAGGAGTCACCGCATTTGAACCTTCGTGGCCACAAGGGATTTTTATTCCTTTTTGAATTTGAACATGGGACCTCCTGTACTTTTGACCTTTGGAGCCAAGCTCAAACCAATCAGGAACCACCCTTGTGGTTGACTATATGATATTTATTACCATAATTTTGGGTTTTGACATGTTATTATCAACTGATTGTAATAAGGGTGGCATAGTCAGGAGCGGTGTATTATTTGGTAATAAGGGTGGCATAATCAGGAGTTGGATATATTCTTATAATAAGGGTGGCATAATCAGGAGCTGGGTATACTGGAATAAGAGTGGCATAATCAATTTCTGGAAATGATGATTTTTGATCATGGGATATTGTTATCGCATCATTGTGAGGCGATGAGTTTGATTTTATCGCATCAATGTGATGCGATAAGTTGTGGATATTGCATCCTTGTGGTGTGACAAAGGAAGGTTATTCCATATGCTTGATGCGATGAGTTGGTTTTTCACATACTTGAGGTGCGACAAGTGTGTTTATCGCATCAATGTGGTGCGACAAGGAGTGGTTATTGCATGTGATTGATGCTATAAGTTGAGTTTATCGCATCAGTTGAATATGACAAGTTGGGGTCATCGCATTAGTTGGATGCTACAAAATGTGCTCATATATTGGTTTGATGCGAAAATTGGTGTATTATGAATTTGATGTGACAAATTGTTTATTATGTTGTTCAATGCGATAAAATGGTGACGTCTCATCTTTATGATGCGACAAAAGAAGGTTTGTTGAAATAAATCTTATTTTGATGATATCTTTGATGAAGGGTTTTTCCAAAAAAGATGATTCGGTGATTTTCATCCTGTAATTGCAAATAAGGAAATTATTCACTTAGATCTTGTGGTCTAACCCTCATTTTGTGTTTAAAAATGTGCATTACAGGACAACTATCGGTGGAAGGTAAAGGGAAAGGAAAGATGTGAAGGGGGATTATGATTGTTTTACATCTGTGGATTTTAGGAAGCTGAATATGTGCATGTACTTGCAAACGTGTTATATACAAGTCATGTACTTGGCGTGAACGAAAATTTTGTTGCTACTTTTGTATGTAACAATTTGTATATACTGAGACCAATGTGTATATTTGTATTTCATATTATATAGAATATGTAGATTCTATACAAATATAGATTTGAGGGTTACAATGAGCATTAAAAGTAATGATTAAGATAAAAGATGACCATGTTTGGGACTTAAATAGGTTATAAATCCTAAACCTAAAATCAATCCAATTGGGATACAATTTTCGGTTAGCATACAATATAAAATAAACCTTATTTTTTTGTTAAAAACACGTATTATATTATAGATCTGACGGTTTTTATCTATCACTATGTTGGAGCCAAGCGGGTCCGTGTGAATTACTTTGGAGAAACCCTACGTCGGTTCCTAGTTCTTCATTCAATCCATCTACAAACCGTAAAACAAAATTTTATACTCTCTATGATTTAATTTGTTCAATTTATTATATCATTGGATCCGTATGTGGGTTTTCTTTTAGAAAAGTTTTTCTATATCAATGTATTGTATCCTTTGATCAAAATTTTATTTTTCCATGGCATTTTAGATCTCGTCACTTTAATGAAACCCTACACATACAATAAAAAGTTTTAATAAGTCCGAAATATGTAACTAATGGGCCGTTTACCTAAATGCTTACTTGGTAAATGCCTATTGTTAGGAGTCAACGGTATAATTTATTTAATTGGGTAAGATTGTAGTATATCAAAACGTATCATATGTAACAGTTTACCCGCTAAACACTTACCCGGGTAAGAGTCGTCACCCTCACTTACCGTATAAGACTCTCTATCCTTATCATCGCTCTTACGAGTAAGGTTCTTGGCCCTTGTCATGTTCATTCGGTGAGGAAAATTATCCGGTAAGTACTTACCGAGCAAGCGTTTAATAAACGACACCTAATATAGTATACAGTATACGATTTCACAGTTTAGATGATCGACCATAAACATATTTGAATTTGTTATGTTAAACGGGTTGAAATAAAGGGTTTTTGTAATCTAAAATCCAAATTGGTATTTGGGCCTGAAATGGGGTCGGATGATCCAGCCCATGCAAAAGGGAAGCTGATATCTCCTGCGAAAGCACAAACCAGCTGCCATTTTCTGAGCCTAATTGCAGGAGATACAGATCAATCGATCGATGGGGAAGAAGGCATTAGGACCCACTGGAGAGTTCTTCAGGAGAAGGGATGAATGGAGGAAGCATCCTATGCTCACAAATCAGTTCCGTCATGCCACTCCTGGCCTTGGAATCGCCCTTGTTGCTTTCGGCATCTATCTCGTTGGTGAAACTGCTTACAACAAGATCTACGCTCCTTCTCACAGCCACTCACCTTCTTCACCTTCTCACTCTCACTGAGATTGATTTCCCCTTTCAGGTCAATTTCTATTTCTATTTCTTCCCCCTTTTCCGTTTTTAGGTTATTGTTTATGCTCAACTGTGTTCTATTTATTAGATTGGGTGTTTTAAAACTTGTTATGAATCTGTTGATATATTAATTGTATTGCCTGCCGATTATCTTCGTTACTCTTTGAGGTTTTCTTATTTTTGGCTTTGAGGATTGCGTGTTTATGTTTATGTCAATAGAACATGCTACAATTTACATTATTTCATGATTTTTTTTTTTGTGTTATAGAGCATACGAAAGCAGAGGCAGTGTTAGGAATTGGGCATAGTTTTATACCAATTGCACCAAGATTGTGTTTATCTTGGATATGATCTTGCAGATTACTTGTGGAATTGTTGAAGGGAGTGTTTTGGGTAGTTTCATCTAACACCACTTAGACCTTAAACAAAATAACACCAGTGGAACTTATAATTAACCAAACCAAACCAAGCCAACCCATTATATCCTGCTTTCAAGCACGGTCCGACTTTGGGATGTACCCAGACTTGTCCTTTACCTCAAAAAGGGTATAACGACTGTTTCTTTGAACACTCTTGCCTGATAAAAGTGTGAGCGAAGAGGGAAGAAGAAAAGGAACCCAGGAGAGTAAAATATAAGCAACATAAAAAGAAGATAGAAGAAGGCACAATGAAACAAATAAAAGCTCCCCAACTTGCTTCTTCTTATCCCCACTAGCTACATCGTCCCTATACCTAAGCCTGCTTCCCTAGTTTTTGTGTCTCTAAGAACTTCAATTAAAGGTCATGTTCTCGAAAATGTCTAAGGCTGCCATGTCCATCCTCAACTACTCATCCAACGTCCTTTGCGTCCTACCCCTCCTCCTGATCCCCCTTGGCCGTCACACTTTCTACTCTCATAGTAGTCATGAACTTATAATTTATTAGCATTAGTCTTTTCACCTAATACCAAACAAAATCAGAAAGGGCCAACAACATTTATTTATCTCACAAAACTCTTGCAGGAGCTAAAATTATATCAACTCAGAGTAAGTCTAAACTTCACTTGGTGTGATAGGTCCTTCATCTTCAAGTTTCCCATCTTGTACTTTCTTCGGTTACCCTGTTTGTATGCAAAGGGTAATTGTCCATTTGTCCTAGTGGTACCCTGATTAGGAGGTCAACGATTCAAACCTCACTAAATGTGAGGAGTATGCTTGAGTAATCGTCGTATATAAATATTGGATACTGAAAGAAAAAAGAATAACGTGGCGTGAGCCAATTGCCTAGTCTTGGTATGAATGCATATTACAAATCAATCACGGAATGAAGGTACAAAAGGCTCCTTTGAGACTTTATAACAATTTAGATCATAATGATGTATTACAATTACAAATCATTGCTCATGAGTGAAAGCTCTATAGCTTAATGTCTATTCTCGATGTGCAAAAGTTTGGATAATATCTTAATGTTATGAAGATAAAAAGATACTTTCTACAAAATATGTTGGTCAAACATAACAATGTGTCCATATATTTTCAAGCTAAAGTCAAAGTATTGGTACTAATTTTGGTGGTTACTTTTAAATAATTTGAACAATGCTAATCCAAACTTTTGATCTTAAACAGTCAAACATCATGATTAACTTAATTATCAAGGTCTTAATTGAAAAGTACATGTAAACCGAATATTTCATATGGTGCTCTTAATCTATTTGTTTTATTTCATACCCTTCATTCAATGAGAAAATGAGTCCAATTCTAAAGGATCAAACCTATGGGACTTGAGGAGTAAATAAAAATGAATTAAAACTCAGATTCCAAAATTATTCAATATAGATGTCCAGCCCTTATAGCCCTTTGAGGTAGAGGCAAGGTCTGCGTACATATTACTTTCCCGATCCTACTTCTGTGTGGAATATATTGGTTGCTTAGATGTCCAATCCTATCGGCCTGAATTTCTTGAATTTTGACGGACTAGTTGCGAGAAGTTATTTGCCTTTCTTGCCAGGGGTTTCTCCCCCTTTCCTGGAAAAAAGTTTATTTACCCTTCGGTTTTCAATAAAAGCTATTTAATGTCGACATCTTTTTGACAAAAGCATAATGAAAGCGATTCAGAAATGCTTCTTCAACGCATGGATCCTTGCATTACACTACGATTTCTACGTTTTTGGTTGAGTTTTACTTTTAAATTCTGAGAAAATCCATGCTTGTCAATTTACATTACTGCTTTAAGCTATTAAGTTGTGGGTTTTGTCTTTATCTGACAAGAATATATTGCAAAACCGTAATAAGAAAGTAATTGATCATTATATGAGTTGGAGTCTTTATATCACAATAAAAATTGTAATTGAGCATTATATGGGTGATTGATATCATATGTTATGCAAACTGTGGTGGTCATGGTCCGGTTTGAACCATCATGGGTGGGTAAAAAAACCTGTGAACTTTTAACCTGTCTGCGTTTGTGTTGCTATATGCATGTGTCGACTTCGTCATTGTGCAGAGATGTTGCTGCCTGCTTCAATATGAAAATTTATAAGGATTTCTTGTCTCTGTTGCATTTGCTGTTTACTCTGTGTGTTGTTTGTTTACACACATTCTCATCTGTATCTTGCTTGATTGTTTCAGGTGCTGTGAAGGAAACTTGCATCATGCGGAGTTTGAACTGTTCTTGGTAAAAATAAAAGCATTTGTAGGACAAAATGATTTGGTGCAACTTTTTTATGTATATTTTGTTGGTTGAATCAACTTATATACAATGTTTGTTGGATCATGAATTTTGAATGTCATTAATTACATCAAAAAAGCGTAAGGGGTCTTGAAGCATAAACTTCCGAGTGCCTACTTTGACAATCGTGGGTGTCTAGTAAAGATCCTAAACGATTTGTTAACTGGGGTTAAAAAGAAAAGACCGGTTCTGAGGGGAGTCATGATTTGGTCCATGTTCGACCGGTTTTGTCTAATTGCTTTAGATTATATCATTATTTTAACGAGGCTTCAAAGGCTTATCAACAAACAGATGGCAACCAAAGGGCCTTTGGCCTAGCGGTATTAGACTCTCTTGCCTCCTAGGAGGCCAAGGGTTCAAACGGTCAAACCTCACCAATGGTGAGGAGGGTGTGTTAGTTTATTTGTTGTATTTGCCGTATATAAAATATATTATATACTTAAAAAAATAGATGGCACTCTTCATCATCCGCCTTAGGAAACGGCATTCGAGTATAACTTGTTTTGATCGTTTAAATTGGTGGAATGCTAAAGAAACGCAATGGCCAATCCTACCAGCCATTGCTTGCGATTTGCTAACTGTCCAAGCTGAGTGGTAGGATAATAAGCGAACTGTGATCATGGCTTACTGGTGAATAGATGGAATTATGTGTTTGCTTGAATGACTAATAACGAGCTTATTCAAGACAGTTTCAATTGAACCGACTCTCAAGGAAATCTAAGATGATTTCTTAGAAGATGAAGTTGCTAGAAGTCATATACAACCCCTACTAAGACAAATGTTGATGACAAATTATCAAGTATTGAGGAAGAAAAACAAGGAGAACCTGTTAAGGCCTGACCTGATGTCTTTTTTTGGGCTTAAAAGGATTACGACCATTTACAACAACTATGATGCTACTCAAGCTCAGATCATGTGAAAACCACAAAAAATTAAAGAACCCTAAAGAACCTCTATATATTCGTTGATGCATATACCTTATCACAATATGAATTCCGTCAATGAGTATATTCATCAATGCATAACTATTATATGTGCAGGTATACATGAATTGATGTATATATTCACAGAAGTTCTATTAATGTATATATATCAATGAATATATAGGTGCTCACAGTTTTAAAATTATAAGGTTCTTACATAAACCAACCCCACTACTGATATTGGTGGTCGAATTTGGCACCAATGCATCAGCATTGTTACTATGCATCAATGGCTACACCAAATGATTAAGCCTTTTCAGCTACCTAAAATTATGGATGATTGGAATTATAGTCCACTCAGAAGATCAAATCAAATGGCCAAAAACTACCATTTAAGACAACGACAACCTAGGTTGTCACAAGTCGTATACATGGACAATCATGCCCTTAATAAACATAGGTACGTAACGTGCATGGTGTAGGGACAACACATAGAAAGTTTACATAACTATAAACAATGAGACTGTGACTGCGAAAAGGAATGTAAACCAAATTAACCAAACAAGCCCAATATATTCCATCCGAATGTGAGGATCTAAGGAGAATGAGATGTGCAGACCTGATCTCTAGGCCCACTTGCCATCCACACTAGGATAAATAGAGTTTTCCGGGAAAAACTGCCAGTGGAGATAGACCTCCTAGGGATAAGATACATGGGGTTAAAGAGAGAACAAAAAATGATCTTTCGTTGTAGAATCCTGCATAATCTAGAATGTTCTCATAGGGTAGAAAGGAACCTGCTTAATCTCAGCACAACAACAATTGGCCAGGGTTGAATTTAACTTACATGTAGAAATTATAAAACTTTTATTCAAAACTATCACCAGCCATAAGGCTGTGCTACTTGAGAAAAAACAGAGAAAATAAAAGACATGAAAAGATGTTAATCAACATTTGCTTGGCTTCATAAAAGTTGCTTAAGAATCTTAAATGGAATTTGCATGAATCAAAACCAATCCGGTTTATAATAACTATTGTTGCGGTATCCCTCAATTGCCAATAATCAACCAATTATTAACATTTACAGAGTCAAAGGAAATAAACATCGTTACGCAGGCACAAATGAATCTGTGTTTAGTATTCTTTCAGCAAGTAATAGATCATCAGGGGTTGTAACCTGCAAGCCATTAAGATAGGGTTTTATATAATCAAACCAAACCCAGTATTATATTACAGAGGAAACATTCATGTATTACGTACACCCCACCAAAATGGAAGGCACATTTTGAATTTTGAGTTAAAATCTACAAATTCTCAATTCTGATATTAATATACGCAGGAGCATAAGGCAAGGGGTGTATGGTGCTCAATAACCCGACCAACCCGATCAACCCAACCCAACCCAACGCGAAATAACCCAGCCCGAAGCAACCCGATATCTAATCGAGTTGTAAAATTGTCAAACCGTATGTATTGGGTTGATATTGGGTTACTATTATTTGAACCCAACCCAACCCGATGAACCCGATATCTTTTTATTTCTTGGATTTAATATGATTGTTGAATTTCTATTGATATATACATTAGACAATTACACTATCATGTATGCTTTTCATATACACATATTTTCAATCTATTCACATCTCTATATAACTCATTCATATATATGTTCAGTAACTGTGAACATATATATGTATATTGAGAAAATTAACTGAATGTGATATACGTAAGAAATATGGATAAGTTGCATCAAATGGTTGATGATGAAAAAGAAATTATGAGTAGAGAAATAACATATTCAAGGTTAGAATAATATTTTAATATACCAAAGCATCAACCCGACCAACCCGTACGGGTTGGGTTGGGTTGGGTTGCACTTTGGTTTGGGTTGGGTTGGGTTAAGATTTTTCCAAACCGCAAGCATTGGGTTGGGTTGTTCAGATGTCTTCAACTCGATCAACCCAACCCATGAGCACCCCTACGTGCCACCACTCTATTGTATTGACGCGATAGGAAAAAAAATTAAAGGTCTTAAAGGTGCACCCGCTTTAAATTGATGTGTTTGTTAACATAAAGTCATAAAGTGGTTGTCAACTACTAATAGTGTCATTACATGTAGTATTATATCCTTTTGGTTCTTTTCTAATAGTTTTTTATAAGAGCAGAAAAGAAAAAGAAACCACTTGGATGTTGCAAAAAACCACCTATGTATCATTTTATGAAACTATAGTTTTTACGGTTAATATTTATTTTATTTTGTATTATGTCAGTTATTTTGTGCCTCCGCTTGAAAAAAATTCTGTAACCACCTTTGAATATATGTTTTTCTTCATAAGATGTATTATAAATCTTCTTTGAAATGAAAATTCAAGTCATTAGACCTCAAAAATCAAACTATGTCATGTTCCTCTAATCCAACAAATCTTGAAAGAGTAGTGTACCTTGATGTTAGTATAAGATCCTTCTGTGATGTATACAGGATGTTTGAGGTGCTCTACGATGGACACATCATCTGTCACTTCAAGCCCTTCTCTGTTTCGTACCCAAAGAAGAGAAGAACATCAACCCCCCTTTCTGATGTGCAAATTAGATAATAACTATAGATCTTTATATAAAGAGTGTGGTTCTCTATTCAATTCATTTTTGAAGAGATGAAAAGGAGAATTTCTACTTCTATAAACCAAACAAAACAGACCAGTAAATCCCACACGGATAGAGTCTGAGGTGGCGTTTGTTTTTTAAGACGTGCTGAAGTCTGAAGTCTGAATTCACTTCTGATTTTTAAGAGGTGGTGCTGAAGTCTGAAATCTGAATCAATTAGATTGTTTGTTTTTTGTGTCTGAAATCTGAAGTTTGAAGATGAGAGATCAAGAGTTGATATGGATCGACAGTTGACAAAGTTGGGAGATGAGAGATCGAGACAGAAGAGTTGATCTAGAGAAATCGAGCGCAAAGAGATCAGAGTAGGTAGGCGACAATTTGAAATAAGAGGTAATAAGAGGTTTCGCAACCACTTAAATTTTCAGACCTAATAAGAGCTTTTAAGCTCTTAATTGAAGAAAAAAAAACAAACACACTGAATCCTCTTATGTCAGACCGATTCAGACTTAAGAGAACATTAAGAGTTTTTTTATTAAAAACAAACAGCCCCTGAATGTTGTACCTATTTACAAGCTCAAAACCTTTCTTTAGCAACTCAGGCTTGATGACCTGAAAAGATTGCAGTGACCACATCAATCAGAATTCCACATCATCTGTTGGACAATAAGATTACTTTTGATTATAAACGGGAAGGATACACACACACACACCTGTGGGGTTTGCATTTCCCAAAGTGTTTTCCTGTCCAAAGTTTTCACCACAAAGGATTCACTATTTGCCTGCACAAAATTTTGAAATGAATACAACCATTATATGCGACGTACCTACAATAAATGATATAGAAACTTCAATGTAAATAAAACAAAAGCGATGCTTGCTGAATAGAACCATTATTTCACCACATAATTCTTAATATCGTAGTGTAATGGATTCAAGAGACATGATAAAAAAATGTGTCCTCGGGATAAGGAAGTCTAGTGACGATAAAATAGACCATGACTAAAAGAGATGCCTACGGATGTTTTGATATTATTTTATATTTGTGGACAATCCTGGATTTTGAGTGAGTTACTAGTCGTCTTCAAACAAACCTTCTAAGTATCCAGGAAACAAACTGGAAACCAAATATAAGAAAAAAAAAATTATTTTCATATTCAATATATATACCTCTTTGATGGTAGCTTTAGCAGGAACACCAAGTACTGATGCTCCAATGCGCAGACCATCACTCAAAACCTGCCAAGAAATCAACAAGAACGTGAGAAAGAACTTGTAGATGCTTATGGAATACCCATAGATTTTACACATTTAAACGAATATCAATTATCTTGGGAAAATGAGTTCGATTTACTTCTTCTGCTTATACATACGTAATCAACAATAGAGTATATTGTCATGACTTGCAAACCACCATGAAAATTATTAATATAATGGTACCTAGGAGAGAAACATACAAACGTAATCAAGAAGTTGGTCATATCAAAGCACCAATCCCGATGTTAAAAATTGCACTATATCACATTCTTTCAAGAGTTGAGAACTACACTGATATGTAGTTATCTTTGATTACTATGGTACATATTTTTTTGGGTTTACCAACAGATGTTGTAGAAAATAAGCACAATTTAACTTCCTACTTGTGTATTATATTATATATTAAAAGATATAGTCTTAAGTCTTTCTCCTCCTTACTCCATAGTGACCATTGTTAATGCTAACAGATTTTCAAATGCAAATTCAAGCTTACCACATGTCAATTCCCATGATGGCGAAATTCTTTTGTTAATTTTATGAGAGTTATACATGTGACGTCACTGACGTGACACAATTGTAAATTATATTCTTAATTGATAATGTTTTGATCTTGATGAGAGTATACTAACCTAGATACCTGATTTACGTATGTGTATTTATCTACTCATCTCTACATATGTTGTTTATTTATTTTTTTAATGTTCACATTACTTATATGCATGGTTTTCAAAATCGTTTGAGGCGAGGCGGTCCAGAACCGCTCATGAGGCGGCGCCTCATGGTCCCTGGACGAGGCTTAAGCCTCAATTAGTGAGGTGGTGCCTTGAGGCGTGAGGCATTTCTGAGGCGCACGCCTCTCCAAACAACCTTATTTTCTTCTCCATTTCTTACTTTTTCCTCTCTCAAGAAGATATTCATCTCAAAGGCCAATCCAAAAAGTAAGTTCTTTTTAGTTTGTGTCCATATTTATAGTTTTATGTATAATGTATTACATTATATTATATATATTTCAGTCAAGTATATATGTTCTATATCATGTATAATGTATTTTCTATATGTATAATGTGTTATGTATGTTTTTTGTACATTTTCTGTTTTTCTGTATTATTTTTATTTTCTGTTTTTTGTTTTCTATATTATTTTCAGTTTTCTGTATTATTTTTCTGTTTTCTGTGGATTTGGAAGATGAAAGTGATAGTGATTATGGATACGATTGTGGAGTTATACAACTTGATCATGCTACAGGGAACTATAAGTTGTAGATTGATATGTTTTTAGACGTATAACTAGTAATTTATGAATCTATGATGTTTAAAGTTTGGTATGGAATTATGTTTTGCTTACTATTAATATTTATGAATTTTATTTGTTTTACGCCTCATGGCGTGGAAGGAAAACGCCTCGAGTCCCGATTCCGCTTTCTAAAACCTTGCTAATATGTGCAGGTATATACACGAACATGAGGCACATCATATATACAAATGGGGTCCTTATCAATTAAACTGCATAATTCAACATCTTGGCTTCATTAGAAATTTAGAATGATAGATGAACAACTATATCGGTTCAACAAAAGAGCATAACAGAATACACAGTGGTCCTCGCTAGCATACAATCACAATATGATCATCTATAAAATTATCTTGGAGATATAAACAAGCCTACACGTGTGTCCAGTGTGAGTGTACATGGTTATGACGAATGATTTATTTATACCCTTAGAGTGAATGTTCTTGTTATCAAAGATGATTTAATACTTGGACATGTATAACATTTTGCAAGTATTAATCATATATTGGAGGTTCAACATGCAATGGTGAACCAAGTAACAAACCTTTTCTACGTCACTGGATGATATCAAAGGTCTTGCAGAATCATGGATGCATACAAGTTCAGAATTCAAATCAATTGCCTGTTGACAAAAAACTATAAATCAGAAGAAGACAACAAAATACTACCATATTATTAATGTGTAATTATTCACTTCAAAAATCATAAAAACAAATAAGCATGGTAAAGAAATGTCTGAGCGCAGAAATATTGATATTTGCATAGACATCTCTTTTACTCGTAGGATACATATGAAAAGCTTGTCACGATGATTGGATGTTCTACTTCATATGTATTTTTTGGCGCAAATCTTTTCTTCTTGTCCAATTAAAAATAGCAAGTTGTTGGATGATCAAATAAGATTTGGGCTATGGCCTTGTACTTTGTGAGCTACACTGGATGGTTGGCCAGACATAGGGTTTGTTTGCATGAAACCAATGGTGCTTTATACGAAGATTAAACTTGCTATTATTATTGCTCATGATCCAATCCAGTATGAATCAATGAAGAATATTGATGATATGGATACACACTCCATAAGAAAGCTTTGATCTCATCTGCTTGGAGCACATGAGTTTTGGCTAAAGAAATATGCGGACATTCTTACGTAGCTCTGCCAAGAAAGTATTTTAAGTGGCAATTCCTGGTGGGATATATTGGGCTAGTTTGGTTTGGTTTGGTTTAAGTGGTGCATGAGTCATACCAACCCAAAAACCTTCAGGGGGAGTGTTATGCACTTAACTGTTGTTTTAAGGGGTGCTTGTAATGAACTCTAGAACAGAAATACAAGAGAAAATAAAATGAACCTGAAGTCCACTGTACACAGAATCTTGTCTTTCCTTTCCAGGCAATGCAAATTTCAGGTCCACATTGATCTTCTCTCTGGTGTCTGATAAGAAAAAAAAAACATCAAACATCTTTGGTGTCTGATAAAAGGAAAAAGCTGTAAGGGAGCAAAAAAGATCAAACGGTGTTTTAATCGCACAGACAATAGCATAATTTAACAAACATGTCCTCAGACCTTCAAAAATGTCCTGGTAAGATGGATCACAAACTACAACAATTTCCTTAACCTCAGGCATCCGTGAAAAAGTGTAGAAACTGCATAGAAATGAAGCAGCATATATGATCTCAATGATAAGATATACCACAAGAAGGGTAAAAATAGTAAGCCATTCAAAGAGGATATGCTTTGGCCTTGGAACAGAGTTTGTTCAATGTACCATTAACAATCTTTACAGTCAACTTTTGTAACTACTAACAGCCATCTCTAAGGTCATTGGATCCACTTTGCAGCTTTGACAAACATAATGATTGTTCTGGTCATTTTCATTTTCTATGTAGTATACACAATATTTGTTATTTCCTTCGAATTACCAAATCAGTTACAGTGGTAATCATAATAGGATGACATCGAAGCAGAAGTTGAGATTTTAGGTGCTCCAAATGTCAAATATTTAACATTATTTTACCCTATGCCACAATTACTTGTTTACCACTATGTTAATCTACAGAACAAGAAGTCTCATTCAAAGACACTAAGTGTGCAACCAAGGTAAGCTCAACAAAGCTATGATTGTAATGGAAAAAGTTGACTTTTATACTATGTAAGAGGTTTATAGTCTTACAGAAACGAAAACCAGTTTGTCAAATGGTGCAGATTTGTTCCGTCTTGACATCTATTGCTGATTTCTAGCTAAGACAACAACTTACAAGCGTTTGTGGCCATGCAATTGTGGCCAGAGAATCAAGTCCTCTTGACTAATGTGTTTGCATCATGAAGTTAGTACATGGATATGATTCTTGTGATAATACATTGCAGCTCTATGATTCTTAACATTCCAAGACTTTAACAACATTTTATCTTGTAAACAGAAGGTATGAGAGCATCCTGTTACTGAAGTAGCAAATTCAGACACCCGTGTCAACCCCAGAGATGCATGGTTAAGTCATTCATTTTACTATCATAGTATAACCATATTAACCATAAGTCTTATTGATTCAAAATATATTCAAGATACATCTAATGACCATATAACCCAACTTCCCAAGTCATTATGATCCCAACAAAATGAGAAAGATTGGCATCCTTGAGGGTTAATGAAATCGTTGATATATATGATATATGTTATATACTTACAAAAATATATGTGGGAGCATTTGCCGTAAATATATGATATATATTATATACTTACAAAAATAGTCGATGATTGTTAGCAGGAACAAGATAAATCATGAGTGGAGTTGAGAGTTATCAAATTACCTATACAAAGCAATTGGTTGCCCTAAAAGTGGAAGGTACTGCTTTGGCATGCTTGCCTACTCACAAAAACAGGTTAAACAAACAGCCATCATGAGTCATGCCAAAATAATGCAAGGATAATGAGAAGGAAAAAAAATTAATAAGTAATAGTGTATACGGAGAGAGCAAGAGATGTTTAAGAGCTACACACACAAACACACAAAATGAACAAATATAAGAAGTACAAATTGATGAACATGTACTACCAAAAGAGTCATCCAATTGGCCTTCCCACTACTAGAGTGTTACTGAATAATATATGCCATCATTCACTTTTGTGCTCATTGTAATCTATGATTCCTTATGCACTAGAAGTGATTATCTGATTAGGTATACTTGAAGCTTGATGCAAGTGTCAATCTCTCTCTATCTACCAATAATGATAAGCATGATCTGTGTGTATACAAGTCATGAGATAACAATGTAATGCCCATGTAATTTGCATCGATACCAACAGTAATTCATCTAGTTAATTCGTTATAGCATTCCATTAAACGAACTTAATATGAGAAAAGCAGCAAATATGGTCGTTGAACAAAACTTGTAAAATAAGAATTGAAATTTTTCATAATCAATGCGAAGACATACACCCATTCTTTTTCCCTGTCCTCCGGCTAGAAGAACGATTGAGACGCTTTTCTCTTTCACAAATTCAGATTTCTGCAAAATAGTAATAAAAGAATCAATAAACAACACCAGATTAACCAATTGTTCGTGGTGTTTGGGAATTGGAATAAGAGCCCACTTATGTTAGCTTATAAGTTTTAACTGATTTAGTTCCAATTCCAACATCATTATGAGATTGAATTTGGAACAAAATCATATCGTCTGATTGATACAAAATGGGCTCCAATTCCAACTCCGTAAATGAAACTTTATACTAGCTAAGAATAACTGCAAATAGGTTCTTACAAAGTAACCAAATTTCAATTCAAGCAGGTGGATTGATTGTTGAACCTCTCACCTCATTTGTAGTGCTAGCAGAATCATGAGCAGAGCAAGTGATTGTAAACCTGCCAAAACTTGAATGTTGTTTGAAATTTCTCCTACTTAACGAGGAAACCAATGAGAATTGTGGATGCTTGTAATGTTGGAGTGAGGACTTGGAGGGAATTTGATGTTTAGATTGGGAAATTTTTGAGAAAAAATATGAGGATGGAAGGAGGGGAGACACAACTTGAAGAACCGCCATCTCTTTCTTCCAATAACACCTCTGGTCCTCCCCAGAAACCAGTGAAGAGAGAGAGACAAAAATGAGGACGCCATTTTAGTTAAACTTCCACAAGAGCATCTTTTTCGCAAGTTGGACCTGTCGGGCCGGGTAGGGTTGGGTACAAGAGTATAGGTGCGTTAAGACCACCCGATCAATCCTCGTGTAACGATGTTTAAGTTATTGTTTTTTTAATCTTTTCCAATTCATTTCATGAATAAAAATGTGATTAATTATCCAACCAAAAAAACTACTTGTTACAAATAGCATCTTGTTGTTACATCGAAACATAAAAATGTTGATTAATCTCGCTAATATTGAACTTGGGAAAATGAAATGATTGAATAATTGAAAAATGAGATTATTCAGGAATACATATTGAATGCTGAAATTATGCATTGAATTTCTGGTAGTAGATCCATAATCAAAAAAGTGTATGTGAGTATTGTTACTATTGTAGAAGAAATGAAACAAAAGATATAAGATTAAAAATGATCAATAGTCCAGATTCTTTCTCATGCTTTTTTAACTCTTTTTCTCATATTCTTTGCTTAACAACATATAAATGTTCTTAACTAAATATCAAATTTAAAATTAATTAAAACAATTAGGGGTTGTTTAACAAATTCTTACACAGATAAGCGTTTACCAAGTTTGATTACCTTACCGGATGAAATATGGTAAAGATCAAGAATATTACCCATTAAGAGCGAGACAAGAGTCAAGAATCTTACCCGGTAAGTGAGGACAATGACTCTTACTATAATTAACGCTTACCGATTAAATTGTTGCATATGATGCCGTTTTTGTTGACTAAAATCTTATCTTGTAAGTAAATGATAGTGTTGAATTTTAGCGATAAGTGTTTATCGGGTAAGTGCTTGATAAACGACCTTTTACTTTAAAATATCAAATATATTTAATAAAATGTTATTTCTTTTTCCATAAATACTTGATTTCTATATGTCCTGTTACTGGTAGATAATTAAATATTATTCTTCTATCTTAAACTTGGAGTTGTAAATATTTTCTTCAAATTTGGAGATTTCATAATTTCTCTTCTTTTCTTTATTTTAATATATGTTATATAACATAATTGTTGGAGAAGAAAATTATCCAAAATATGTATTTTAACATAGTTGTTAAAGATACTCTAAGAGTTAGGACATCTTTAACCCAACACAAAAATGAAGGTGTTTCTATGTCCAAACCAACACTAAAAAAATAGAGGTCTTCAAACTTGGCCTCTATAAATTAAATATTAATATAATATTAAGTTTTTATTATTATTATTATTATAATATTAAAGATGTTTTAGTGTGTAATTCGAGTTTTTTTTTTAGTTTTCAATGCACATCATTTTTAGATTTTTGGCGTTCAGGTTGTAGATGGTCTTACACTATTTTTTTTCCTCTAAATAGTGTATTAAAAGTCAAAATCTATAAATATATATATATATATATATATTTAACTCCAACAGCTATTATATTTTAGCAATTTTAGCATTAATTGTATTTAAATTGTTCAATACATTTAATAAAGGGAAAAGTTCAAAAAAAAAAAGCAACGAAATATCCCATTTTGAATAATTAAGTCTCTGAAATATTTTTTTAATGAAAAAACAATTAAACTTTCTTATTTTGAATGATTAAGTACTTAAACTATTTTTTTAATAAAAAAAATCATTAATTTATAATTTTGATTGATTAAGTTCTTTAACATTCTTTTAATAAATAAATCATCGCACTTTTAAAAATTGGTTACCTATAAAAAGGTTACATTAACCGACTAGTAAAAGTTTGATGATTTATTTTAAAAAAAAATCAAGGTCTTAATCATTCAAAATGTGGAAGTCTAATGGTTTTTTCATTTAAAAAGAAAATAGTTCAGGAACTTAATTACTCAAAATAAGAAAGTTAAATGGTCTTTTCATTCAAAAATATAGTTTAGAGACTAATTCAAAATGAAAAAGTTTGTAGAGTTTTTTTTGAACTTTTCCATTTAATAAATTATTATTTTTCTCTACTAAACATTTATTTTCAGTATTTTCTATTGGTGGAATAGAATTAAAATTTTGAAGATCTATGAATTTTTTTGCTTCAACAACCCTACTAAACGTGATACTAAAAATTAAAATAGAGAGAAAACGATAAAGTGAAAATATGTAAATTTGTAGAAATCTCTTAAAATTTTATAGAAGAGAGAGAAAAACAATATTTTAATTACTTCTCACCAATAAAAGATATTGAAATTAAATGTGTAATATAATATTTTATAAAAGATACCGAATATTTTATTAATATAGTTAGGCATTGTTTAACAAACATAAACTAACTTATTTTTTGGGTACATGTTTGGATTGATATAAATTGGCTTATAAATTAACTTATTAAAACGTTGGTTGGAGTTGTTTATAATAAGTTTTTTTTATCACATTTTCTAATTATAGTCTTATTAATATTAATAATTATTTATTATCATTAATTATAAATAAATATTAATTATTAATATATAA